ACATAATTGAAGGACATAAGAACTCTACATTATAAAGGTAATACTTCTGTTCAAATTAATTTAGAAATTCAGTGCACTGTCATCATATTACCTTTTTTTATAGAACTTGAACTGATCATTGAATTCATGCAAAGCAAATGGCCACAAATAGCCAATAACATATAGTTGTGCAAGCTGACTTGTCAGTGTGAAGACTTACTTCAAACACATAGCAATAAGGGCAGTATGGTGTGACTACAAATAGATGAACAGAACAGAAATGGACATGCATATAAAAGTGGTGTGACATTACAAATCAGCAGTGAAATAATGAATTAGAAATTGATGCTGAACAATAAATTGACCATATAGAAAAAGTCAAACTACTTCACCATACCATCCATAAAAATACATATAAGATATAACTAAATACTAAAAACATTTGTAGATGTTAAAACATTTGGAAGAAAATCTACAAGAGTTTATTAATGCCCTTAGATTAGGGATGCTTTTCCTAAATATTACTCCAAAGCCACAATTGGAAAAATAAAAATTTAAAAAAGCATGTTTGACAAAAACAACATACATGAAATAAGAACCTGCCATAGACATGGAGAAGATTTTGGCAAATGGCTGACAAAGGATAATACCTAAAATATACAAATTCCTATAATCAAATAATAATAAGGTTAAAAAAAAACTAAACAAAAGTAGAGTATGAACAGGCAATGAATAGAACACTGCAATCAGCTCAAAGCATGGAGAGATATGTGGCCTCTTTAGTAGTCAGGAAAATGAAAATTAGATGAGACTTTTTCCTACCAATCAGGTTGGCAAAAAATTAAAACTCTGCCTGTATAAAGGATGGTGAGGAGAGGGTACAGGACGAACGCAGGCCCTTGTGGCAGTGAAACTAGGTCCAGCCACTTTGGAGGGCAGCTTAGCACCATCCAGTAAAGGTCAAGTACATAATCTGTGATTAACTGTCCCACTGGTGGGTAGGTAATGCAGAGAAACTTTTGGACACAAGTGAAAAAAACAGTGCCCACTGCTACATTATTCCTAAAGAAGAGAAATTGGCAATCAACAGAAAAAGAGTAAAATGTGGTGCATTCCTCCAGTGGAAAGTTATAGAGCTGTGAACATGAATGAAGCAGCTCCGTGTGTCCAAATATGTGTTCCCCAAAGTGAGAGCAAGTCATGGCATTGTGTCATCTATCCCCCTCCATCTTGAACAATGCTATATATTTATGGATATATACCTATCTAGTTTACTGAAAGCATATCTAGGAATAATGAATACCAAATTCAGGATAGTGGCTAGTTACCCTTGGTGACATGGGTATTATGGGTATTATGTGTTATTTCATTTTAATAATCTGAATCAAAGGGCAGTGTTGCAAAATATTAAAATTTAACAAAGCTGAGGGGACTGTGCATAAGTGCTTGTGTAATATTTCTGATTCTATGTTTGAAACATTTCCTGTGCTTGTATACACAAGGACATCGGGAGGGCAAGGTTGTCTGGGAATAAGCAGGCAGGCTACCTCTTTGCCCAAGAGCCACGGAATTCACGCTGGTAAATGTATTGTTATCCTGGACTTGACCCTTAGCTTCGCAAACCCAGACTTTTTCTTTTTTCTTTTTTGCTTTCTTACTTGCCTCTTTCTATTTCCGTATTGCTTTCCCTCCGAAGATGTGCATTTGGTTATCTCATCAATATCACCATGAACCCCAAGTATAACATCTGCATCAAAGACATGTCTGCCCTGAGACTAATTTTTTTTTCACCCCGGAGAAGCTCAGGAGCACTTGCCTTTGACATCAGCCAGTTTTTCCTTTAATAGCTAACAAGAGTTCAGATAGCAATAGCCATCTGGCCACAGAGAAATTTAAAACCCAATTAAGAATTAAAAAAATAATTTTAGGGCCTCCCTGGTGGCGTCAGGGTTACGTCTCAGTGCTATCACTCATGAGGCACGAGTTCTATCCCTGGCCAGGATGCTGACCCACATGATGCAGCAGACCTCTCTGGGCAGAGAGGGGAGCCCGCTGCTCCCCTCAGCAGTGTATTTCAGTGCATCTGCCTGTTCTGTTCCCCACTCTGTCTCTGGTGAACCCTCTTATCCCCACCACTGCACCTATGGCCTATACCCAGTTCTTCTCTGCATAAATAAATAAATCTTTTTAAAAATACACAATTTTATGTATCCAGTTTTTAAAGTCTCCATTTTTCTAGAGAGGAAGTTATCAGAATGACCAGATTAATATTACCCTTGAAATTCAAGAGAACTTGACCTCATACGTCTGACCCAAAGCCCCATCTATCCACTTTCCTGAGCATCACACTGTGCCCAGCTTGTATCGTCTGGGTGAACAAAATTCACTACAAACTCTTTCTGCTGCTGACTTCAAATGAACTGGAGTTTCTACCCAGCTCCAAAGAAAGCTCAAGTATGAAAGTGCCCCTGGCAGCCAGCTCCCCTGGGGTTTCTATATTGGGAGCTCTTTCACTAGCTCTGGAGTTAGTGAAGACCCTGGCAGCTATATTGCTCCTTACTTGAAAGATTTATTCTGTTTCTTTTTAGAGAAATTTCTCCCGCCTCCCCCCACCACCACCTTTTTCTTGGCTCAGTGTGAGAACTTACGATCTGAATTCATATACATTCATACATATACTCACCATAGAGCACTGTTTCTCCATTTTTGCTTATTATCCCTCTTTGCCTGAAAAATGGAATACTACTTAAATTTCCTGATTGCCAATTCCTAGCAAAAGTTGGTGCTTATGAATATGTAGACGAATTTTAATAAAATTGATGTGAGTGCAGAATCCCTGTGTGTTCTGAAAAATGTTTGCAGAGTCCCTGAAGACTTCCAAATGCTTTTGGAAGACGAGGCTCCCTACAGAGAAAAGGAAAATGAGAGAATAGGACATGATTGGATCTGTTAAGTTTACTATGATTTGGGCATGAAAAATGCTTCCTTCTCTCTTCCCTTAAATTCTCACATGGCTGCATATAAGCCTGTGTTCAGAAGTCATCCAGCCGGGTCTGCTTCGCTCAGCACGCCCCACTGTGTTGAGTGGGACCTAATTGCAGAGGATGTAGCCTCCTGTAGTGGAGTTCTTATTTCATTAGCATTACAGATTGAGTTCCTGGGAATGCTGGGAATGACATTCTTGGTAATTTGTTTACAGTTGAGCCTTGCGATTCTTACTTCCTTAATCGAATAATCAGCTAATTCTTAAAATGAAAAAAAAAAAAAAAACCCACCACCTAGCCTATCAGTCTGCTCATCATTAAAAATTTAGCCATCAGGAGCCATAATGAGGTGCCATATTAATTCCAGAATGTATTTTCCCCCCAAACAATGACTGATATATTATGCAGTTTTCACATGATTAATTAAAGTCAAGCTATCCACATAAACTAAAATAAACACAAGAAGCCCATTTTGCGATTCTGACCTAATTGCTTTTTAATTGCATTGCTTTTCTTGCTCATTTTCAAAATTCGCTGCTTTGAAATCGTTTTTCTAGTCACGAGGGAAAGTTAGTGTCTGTTGACCATTTTCAGGCTCACCCATTCTGGAGAACTGTTAGTCGTCTGGAAGTTGCTGAGCAGCCACTTTTTGTCCTTACCTGCTTCTGCGCTTTAGGTGTGAACAAGCTCCCAAGCCCTTTCCCTGCTGCTGTCCATTTAAGATGGAGCCTGTCCCTCACACTTGTGATAAACAGCATTAAAAGCTAAAGAGCAACACAGGTTTTTAAAATGTGTGGACCCCATGAAAGGGTTTCCAGCTTCGATGCCTTTGGCACTGAGTTTTTAACTGCTCAATGCCCCAAAGATCATGCATGTCAATGTGGAGACACCTTCTGGGGTCCAATTGACAGGACCCTTCCTTACTGCAGGCATGACTTGCCTACCCTTACCACCTTTAGAATTAAAAACCTGACTGGTGAGAACCTACCTGGGGTCAAAGGTGCCTCAGCCCTCTGCCCCGCCTCCTCCAGCCTGGCATCAGTGGGTCAGTATATTGGCACTATTTTCCTGTCCTCAGGCTGTAAGCCCGAGCCAGCCGGTCCTTTCAGGATCTCTGTGGCATCACCGTTTTTTATACTGGCATGTTCTTCAAGACTGACCCCCAGAGGCTGCCCGAGGGCCCACCTTGCTGGCATCTGCTGAGCCTGATCGTGCCTCGAGTTGTATGCTACTCCAGCATTTTCAAGCCAGAGCTATCAGAGGCGCCTGCTTTAAAAAAAAAAAACATAAAAAAAAAAAAAACCATTCAGGGTCCTTGCGGCCTGTGTCTGTCTCTAGAGAGCAGGCTTGAGAGAGACCTTATGGTGATCTACCAGTGGTCTGTAGGCCTGGTCCCTGAACTGGCTTTCTTCAGAGGCAAGTCCAGGCTTCTTTTGACACCACTGTGAGTGGAAAGAGCCAGCTGATGGGCTGACAACCCCATGGGCCTGTCCTTCACCCCACACCAGCCTACGCCAGCATCACCTACCTGGTGTGGAGATGCCCTGGCAGGGCAGGGAGTGCGTCCCTGTGTCAGGGTCCAGGAGAGCAGTGGGGTAGAGCCAGGTTCCCAACACAACTTTGTGACGAATCCCCAAAGTTGCACATACTTGCTCTAAACGAAGTCACAAACAAGAAAAGAACAGCAAAGCACAGTTGGTTCCACCCCTCAGAAATAACCACTGAATTGTGCAAAGCCCGTCTCTAGAGGTGTATCTGCATGTGAGAATAAATGGGATTTCACTGTTTTAAAACACTTTTTTTCCCAACATGTTAGAAAAATGTTCTCAATATGTTACTTTTCACTGAAATCTTTCATCTTTTAAAACCTCACTCATGGTGGTTTTCTGTTTCCTGTCCTGCTGTCTCCACCTCAGAATAAACAGGTAACTTGTGCAGTGACAATCCATCCTGGCACATCACTCTGCCTGTGTTCTCAGGGCTTTGCTGTGGCTGCTCTGGACTACTCCTTCAGGGACGATGTTTCTCTCCTTTCAGGTGTCAGCGGAAGCAGTGGCGGGTGGACCTGCCGGCTACCAGCGTGGTGATCACGTTTCACAATGAAGCCAGGTCGGCTTTGCTGAGGACAGTGGTCAGGTGAGGCCGGGAGGAGCCATGCTCACCCATTTGTTGCAGCTCCTGGCAGGAGGTGCTCCTTGGCAGGGATGTGACCATGGGGCGCTGTGGGGTGCACTGAATAGGCAGCTCATGGGACCAAGATAGGAGAATTCCTTACCCTAATGACACCCCTACCGGACCCACCACCTTTATCTTTCTGTCTTTTCTCAGTGTGCTCAAGAAAAGCCCACCCCACCTCATCAAGGAAATCATCTTAGTGGATGACTACAGCAACGACCGTGAGTACTGGTACCAGTGTCCCCCTGCATCTGACGCCCCTCCTGGTTGCCAGCCCCTACTGGAATGCAGAACTAACAACCAGTTACATGAAAAGGCCAGACAGCAAGGCAGGGGAGCCCAGAGATGATCAGTTCATAGATGATCTGGAACACTGTGCTTGAATACAAATCCCATGATAAATTTGAGGTTCAAAATGCTCTGCTTGGTTTCTTTTCCTAGCTGAGGATGGAGCTCTCTTGGGGAAAATTGAGAAAGTGCGGGTTCTCAGAAATGATCGGCGAGAAGGTAAGATTCTCTTCTTCACTTAGTACCAAGACAGTTAAATTTGGACTTTTCCTGAGCCCAGTAATAACTTAAAAAAATATTTCAGCTGAAAGAACAATTAACTGTCTAGTCTTTTGTCTGTCTCCTTCCAACCAAGCCTCTTGGGAGCCTGTCACAGTGAGCATAGGAAGGGCATTCAAAGCCTAACTAATTGAAATTGTTTGTATACCAGGCCAAGAGTTCAAATTACATTTTTATTTATGCATTTGGAAAATTGGCTTCTCTCTTTCTTTGGCAACCTGCAGAGCCTTATCAGTCCCTTGAGTACTAGAATTTAGAAGAAAAGCAAAGATTTAGCAATGAGAAGTTTAATGATCCCACGCTCCAGGCATTTGATAAAATAACTGGGATTCAACTTTGACAGCCTGCTGAAGGTGAACCATCCAAAAAGGGGAGAATGCACTGTAATTACATGGTTATTGGATTTTGCAAATGCCAGCCTCAAAACCTGCTGTCAGTCCTGTCTGTGCTAGGGCTGGGTCACCTAGTCTGTCCTACTGGCAGTTATAAGAGAGACCCCAGACACTTTGAGGTATCTGGAAAAGAAGCTAGAATCACAATGTAATTACTACCCAGTGCATCAGTTCTGTTAAGAGAGAGCTTGGTGGTTAGATTCCAGATTCTTCCATAGTCTTGAGAAATCTTTCAGTATAGGAAAATTGCACAGTTATAAGACATGTGCTTTTTTGCCTCTTGTTCCTGGAGCACTGGCTCTGTCTTTGATCTGCGAGTACTCTCTTCTCACTCCTGTGTAAGCCAGCTAGGGTCATGGAATGCCATTTTTCTTAGCAAAAATCTAATCAGTCAAAAAGAGCCTTTTTGGTGATGCCATAAGTACCATATTTTAACCAGCTAAGATCATCAGTCCAGATGTTCAAGATAAATAAGCAGTGGGATCAGTCTTTGCTTACTGGACTCAACACCCGCCTCCAAACAAAAATCTTGAGAGCAAACAAAAATCTCACATTGTGTTTGCCCCTAAACAAACTACATAATAATTCTTTGAATTTAAACTCAAGGTGTCTGCTGATACAGGGGTGAAAAAAGAAGAGAAGTGGGAGAAAGAGACATTATTTTTTTTTTATGTTGGTATTTTGTAACTGACAGGTCACTTGCTCTCCTTATCAGAGAATGCTTTGACCTGTTTAGAGTCAAAATAGTACTTCTTAATGTACATTTTCCATTTGCTTTAAGTTGGGATGTTCATTTTGGTGAGAGCCCATTTTGATGCTTTATTTTGGGAAGGGATGAAGAGCGGCAATTTGGGAAGCCAGATTATTTAGGCCTTTGTGGTACAAGTGAAGTACGTGAGAGTTGAGTGAGAAAATGCACGTATTCCAAGATGTATTTGTGCTTTGTGTGTGTGTGTCTTATATATTTAGGCAGTACACAAGTGATCATAGTGATGTTACTAAATGACAGAGAAAACTGGTTATATAAAATGCTGTGTTAGTGAAGCAGTAGCCTTAGTTTCAGTATTACATCTGAGGATTTTGCCAGTGATTTCCTCATCTGGCTGTTTTATTAGAATTATCTGAAAGAACATAAAAGATGATCATACCCATATTCAGCCCACAGTTGAATAAAATTTCTGAATTTCTCAGGATGGGGCCTGACTATATGCATTTTAAAAAAAGATTTTATTTACTTACTTTGGCATAGAAGAACTGCGGTGTAGGCCAGAGGTGCAGGGGGTGAGAGGATTCTCCAGAGACAGTAAATTTATTGAAATACACTGCTAAAGGGGAACAGTGGGCAAGACAGAAGAGGTCTGCTGTGCCATGGGGGTTATTTCCCTGGCCAGAAATAGAACTCAGGCTGTCACAGTGATAGTGCTGAGACTTAACCCCTAGGTTCACCAGGGAAGTCCCCATCTACATTTTTAAAACAACTTAGATGTATTTTGCAAATCGAAAACCTAGTTCTTCTCTCTCGTTTCACAGATGGAAATATTAAAACCCAAAGAGGATAAAGTAGCTTTCTCAGGGATATATAGCTGTCCTGTCAGGTGAATTTTTTCATCTCAGATCATAGCAATTTTCAGTTCTGGGAGATCCATTTGACTCCAGTATAGTTTTCATTTCTCTGCTGAGATTCACCACCTATTTGGTCATTACAGTCATCTTTTCATTTGAGTTATTGGATAGAGTTAGGATAATAGCTGCTTTAAAATCCCTGTTTATTAATTCCTATATCTGGGTCATCTAAGGGCAAGTTTCTGTTGACATTTTTTTTCCCTTTTGGCATTGTTCACAATTCTGTGTTTCTTCTCATATCTAGTAATTTTTTATTTCATAATGAAATTGTGAAGGATATGTTGTAGAGACACTGAATTCTGCTATTTTTCTCTGAAGAGTGTTGATCTTTGTTCTACTGAGCAGTTAGATTACAGGGTGGTAACCTTGAATTTGTATAACCTTGTCTTTATACTTCGCTAAGAAGAGTGTATATTTAGCAGATCTCTTATTCTTAGATACAGACTGTTTTCCTAAATGTGTTCCTGCTGGGGTTCCTTGTAGAATTGAGGTATTTATGAAGCCCTTCTAACTTGGCAGGACTCATGTTCTGGTCTTAAGGTACTGTTGTGGATAACACCTGAAATCCCAGTTCTATCTTCTAGTTATTTCTTGACACCTTGACATCCTTTTTGTCAGGAGTCAGTCAGTTTTAAAGGGAGGTTCTCACCAGATTTGGGACTTAACCTACTTTTCAGGATTTCTTCCTATAGTTCAATGTACTCTGGAAGCCCCGTACTCTGTCTCAGCCAGAAAGACTGCATTGCAGGGTACTGGAGAAGAATCTCAGGGGAAACATGCTGGACCAATGGATTTCCCGTCATGTGATTTTCTTCTTTTAAGGGTTGAATCCTCTCTAGTTTGTGTCTCCTTCTTGCTATTTTTCTGGCCCTTCTCTACTTTGCTCAGAGTTTATAATTGCTACCTGAGCATTGGCTTGCTTAATACAAGCTACTTTGCAATAGCAGAACTGGAACTCTTTTGTCTTTTTTCCCTGCTGTAGCATGCAGCTCTATGAGAATCATTAAAAAGTCATTTTGACTGCTGTGTTTTAAAGGCACTTGAAACACTTGGAATAGTCCGTTCGTCTTCATATGTGAAGTCCAGCATACATAGCCAAAACCATTGATGACCTAGGGATAAATATACTATTTATGATAGGGCCTTATATGATAACAAAAAGATACATATTGTTAACAGATCACAAATATATAGATATGTAATTTGCTCAATAGTGTTACTAATTTTTTTAAATTAATGATATACCATTATTTCACATCCTTGTTTGTTTTTTCACAATGCAGGATTTCTCCCCTTACATGTGGGTCACCTAGTTTTCCACCACCAAAGTGCCCATTGTCCACCATAGTCATTGTCCTCTCCTCCCCTAGTAAAACTAATTTTGTCTAAAGAGCAAACAGTAGGGCATTGTCATTCATATTATTTGACTTGTAATAAGTCTTAGAAGACAAAGATGTTTGGGACATTGTTGCCATTAAATTATCACCATTAAAATCGGCACCATTAGCACTTGAAGTGTCTGGGTTACACACCTTCTTTAATCCAGTTAATTAGAAATCTCTGTCGCCACCTCAAAAGAAAGCAGTTTTAAAGTTCCACATTCCATCTGCTTGATAAAACAGACTTCAATTACGTAAAGGTCTTTCTCAGAAGGCATCTAAGACGGCTGTCTGTCTGTTCAGAAAAAGTGTGACAGAAACCCTCCTTGGTGACTATAAGGCAGTGCTGCTCCCACCACCAATGTTTGCAATAAACTCTGCCCAGCGCGGGAGATGCAGAGCCCTGTGAGGGGAGTTGATGCCCGTGTGCTGTTCTATTGCCTTTTTGTCTCATGTGCTGGGTTTCCCCACCTGATGTGCTTTTGAATTCGCTTCCACAGGCCTGATGCGCTCGCGGGTTCGCGGGGCTGACGCAGCCCAGGCTAAGGTCCTGACATTCCTGGACAGCCACTGTGAGTGCAACGAGCACTGGCTGCAGCCCCTCCTGGAGAGGGTGGCCGAGGTGAGTGTCTCAGTGAGAAGAGCCCAGGCTGGAGCTGTGTTTTTCCTTGGTGCTGCAGAGGGAGAGGAGCACCACTGGGACTTTTGTTTTAGTCACTAAGGGGAACTACCTGTAAGGAGGATAACCACTTGGCAGATAGGAAGTGCACGTCAGCTCGGGGAAAGCCTGGCCAGCTTAAGACTGTCCCTGACTTAGGAGACTCTTCCTTCCTTGCCTGCAGCTTTGCAACCAAGTCTGAAAATACTGCAAAAGGGATAAGATGCTTTCAACAGGGCTTGGCATTTGCAATTTGAGTGTTTGCTGCTGTTGCTGCTGGCTGAGGGCTGGGAGTCTCAGCTGGGGAAGTTCAAGGAGGTCAGCAGCCTCACCCAGTGCTGCTCACTGCAGTGGTGGCTGAAACCACGAGGGACAGAGGGAGGCCTAGGGTGATCCAGGGCATGCTGTGTGCACCTTGGTCTTCTAGAATCAACCTCTCTAGTACTAGTTTTCACCTTATGTCACTTCTTGCTTTCAACTTGTTTTATTGACTCTTTTTCCTCCCTAAGAAAGTGACAAAGCAAACTTAATGAAAGTGCTGGAGAAATCCAAAATGAGCAGATCATTCTTTTGACAACATAGCAAGCTTAACTGATAGGCAGTAAGTCATCAAATACCAAATAACCTCAAAGTACTAGTAATTATGATAATTACATTCACTACTCTTTCTTCAGTCCTAATTGCGTGCTGGACATGTTATACATGACTATAATCCAGGAATTACAACCTCATTTGACAGAGGAGGAAACTGGGTGGGGTTCAGGGAACATGCGTTACTTATCCCAAAACCGTGCAGGTGGCAGAGCTCAGTTCACCAGCTGCCTGTACCCAAGCCCTCATATCTCTGCACACATCTGCCTGAAACAAGTCCCCATCCTGGACTCCCACCCTGACTTCTCCCTCTACCAGACTTCCTCCCAGAAGAGCAGAAGCAACCAGAGAGATGACAGTGTGTGATGATATCTCAGGATTATCTCACATGCTCCCTCCTAAAGGAAGGACAGAAAGAGTTGAGAATATTGAAGTCCACTGATTCCAGTGACATCAAAAGAGAGAATGATGAAGTGGACCTAGAAGTGGAGCAGACTAGACCCAGCTACAGCAGGATTTTATTCTTTGCTGTTCCACGCGGTCGACAGAGCTTTTGTGCCCAGCAAATTTGCACCTAACCTTTGGTGTTAGAACTCGATATTATTCTCTTAGTGTGTCCCCTCTGATGTACAATGTTCTTGGGAGCTCTGCTGATTCTTTTACTAATTTGCTTTTCCCAAGTCTTTCTTCTGGCTAACTTGGGTTCTCTAAACAACCGGAGGATAACACTCTTTTGTTAACTCTCAGGATGGGGCAGCGTCTCTCACTAGCTTCAGCCATTTGAATTTAGAAAGGCAGGTTAAAAAGGCTTATGTCCACAAATGCTTCCCAAGGACAATGACAGTGGCCACGTAAAGAGCCCTGCCCACCAAGGGTGGTGGGGGGGAGAGTCTTTTTTTTTTTTTTTTTTTTCGGTTTGGAGGAGATGCAGGAAAGGAGTCTGGCCTTCTCTGGTCAGTTCTGTAATAATGCCGCACTCCCCACATCACACCCACCTCCTGTGCCCAGAGAGACAGAGTCCTAGTTTTATTGTGTGGGCTGTGCTGTGAGTTCATTCCTGAGGTGACTGCATGCAGCTCTCAGTGTTTCAGGTTCAGCTCAACTTAGATTCTGCCAATAGAAAGCTTCCCTGTGCTTGAAGTTTTGACATTTGGGAAAACCAGAGGGATCCTGGGGCACATGGGTGCCGCCCTGGCCTTCAGTGGGTGAACACAGGCCCAGCCTATCCTGAGGGCATGGGTGTCTCTTCTCTGCACGGGCTCTGACCGCCTGCATCAGAAGGGATGCCTGTGTGATGGTGCGGGCAAGGCCCTCTGATGGGGCCCGGGTCTCCATGGGCCTAGGGTGGTGGACAGGTGGCAAAAGGGGCAGTTGGTTTTCACTGAAACTACCTAACACCCAGGCCTCTTTCTTATGTGGTTGTATTCTTTGCTGTGCTCTTAATACCCGCTCTCATCTTTTCTTTATTTCAGGACAGGACCCGGGTGGTGTCACCCATCATTGATGTTATTAATATGGACAACTTCCAGTATGTAGGGGCATCTGCTGACTTGAAAGGCGGTAGGTGCCCCTTCCCGTCTGCCCTGCTTGCTCTTCGGTCCACACCGCTGTCTGAGCCCTGCTCCCTCTCAGCGCAGGGAGTGACAGTGATGGCAGCTTCACACCGCCAGCACATGTGCTCCGAGCACAGAGCACATGTGAGCTCAACAAGCAGAACCTCATCAAGAGAGCGAAAAATAGCCTGCTTCCCTCCAAGAGCTTCCTGTGTTCCCTGCTCTTCCTTATCTCTTTGACCTTCTGTTGCTGTTGTGACACATGTGACTTCGTACACAGTTTTTATGTCATTTTTAATCACAGAGGATTAGGCCTTCCCTGCTGGGCGTCTGGGATGCAGCGACGCCAGGGCTGACAGGCAGTACCACGTGGCTTGGGTTTGTGGCGCTGAAGGAGCGGGAGCCCATCTCTGCCTCGTCTCTCTCACCAGCTCTCCTCTGACATCTTGTGTCTCCTTGATGGCAAACCCATCTACCTGTCACCCTTTGGTGCCACTTAACCCTTTCAGGTCAAGTCTCTGTCTCCCACCCCACCCCCCACTCCTCAGACCCCCCCCATAAGGAGGGATGTGCCAGCCACATAGTGTGGTAAAGGGCAATGACAGCAGCTCCCAGCGCCAGGCCATCAGCGAGAGATCAGTCCTACTGGGAGAACCACCCATACCCTGGGATGCATAAAATCAGGAAAGATTTATAGCAAATGGTGAGAAGGACTTGGGGCTTTAAAGAAGACAGGTCCTTAGCTACCAAAAAGGCCTAAGTGTTCAAAATGTCTTCTTTCCCTGAGGATTTTGTAAGAACTGAGTTCGATGGGCTGTCTTTCTCCCTCAGCAGCTGCTTCTGTCTGAGCAGATGTGGAGACAATGAGGTGCTCTGGAATGGGGGAGGGGGGTGCAGGTCTCCTGTTCGGTCAGAAGAAGGGAGGCAGATTTACTCTGAGCGTTTTATGACATCCATTTAGAACAAAAAAAATCAACAAAAAAAATCTGTGTTTTTAGCAGATTCTTAAATTCTAATGCCACCAAAATAATAATGAACATTCAAAAAATGAACACAGAACCTGTCAACTGGTAGGTGAGGCCTTTGCATTCTTTGTTAATAACAGCCTGGATGCCTGCTGTTTCTCCATTGGTGTTTGTGCTTTGGAAGTGGCTCTCTGCAGCAGGCAGAGCCCGACTTCTCATGGGCACCAGTGCCTGGGCCTCACCAGTGTCTGTGAGTGTCCTTTCCTGCTGCCACCCCCAGCCACTCACTCCTTCTCCGCCTTAGCCTGCAGTGACAGCAAACAGTGGGAGCTGGGGGATCTTTTTGGTCTCCTGCCTCTGAGTGAGCCATAAATATGCTGTGCCATCCCAGGAGGCCCTGAGCCTCTACCTCCTGTTCTCTCCTCTTCAGGCTACCGACACACGGTTGCACGGTTGTCGGAGTGCACACACCCCAAATCCAGAGCACACAGATGAGAAATCCAAACTTAGGCATTGCTGGTAAAAAACCAGATGGCCGGGCCTCCCCTGGCGGTGCAGCGGTTGAGCGCTGGGCTGCGAAGCTACCCACAGCCTCTGCAGCGCCGGTTCTATCCCCGGCCGCTGGGGAGGGTCCCACATGGCGCGCAGACCTCTCCTGCCGCCCGCTGCTCCCCTCAGCAGTGTACTTCAGTCCTTCTGCCTGCTCTGCTCCCCACTCTGGCTCTGGTGAATTCTCTCACCCTCCTGCGCTTCTGACTGTACCCAGTGATTGTATAAATAATAAATATATCTTTAAGAAAAAAAACAAAAAAACCTGATGACCAGGAGCTTAAGAGGCCCAAGCTAAAAGGTAGATGGCCCTGGGTTGGTTAGTTCTGGCCATTGGTCCCTTGGAAATGCAGCCCGATGAGCCACATGTTGCCAAGAAGTGGGCTCCTCATGTGTCCCCAAGTAGGATATGCTGGCCGCCTTGGCACAGTGCAGGGGGCCTTCTGAGTAAGGGCAAGACCTGGGTGCTGTGGGTCAGGGGTCTGCAATGCCAGAAACCCCAACCCAGTTCCAGACCCAGGCTCTGCTGTCCAGAGCAGCCTGTGGATTCTAATAGGGAATCAGGATAAATGCCAAATGTTCCAGAAATTGATGCTTGCCTGCCCACTTTGCTATTTCTTTGGGCTCATTTTCGTCTAGAAGTTTTCCTTCTCCCACCTTGCCCCATTCCGTTCTTGGCATCTGGAGTATGATTCCTTTGCTGTCAAGATACTGATGTGATCAAGTTCACAGGGAATCTATAACCTTGTCCCCTCCCTGCACCCCTTACCTTAGGCTGGCTGGTAGGTTATTTTCACCCCAGTCCTGTTTTTTGACCTCCTTACAGCCCTCGCTGTACAGTGGTATCATCACACAGACCCCCCTTCTGTTCTCATTTCACACTTATTCTGATCGTCTTAATGCACCTTAATTTTAGAAACACCTGACCCACATTTTTTGTTTGGGGGAAGCTCTTTGGGAAGAGAATATTTCAATGTACCCCTCCCCACCCCCATACCACCCCTCCAGCTTCTCTCTCAATTCCACATCTTTGTTCTTTGGCATTTGGGCATTTTTTTTTGTTTTGTTTTGGTTTGGTTTTTGCCTGTATGTGGTTTCCAGTGAGACTTACGTAAATACCAAATATTTTTAAGCTGTGAGGGACTGCGATGCCGGGAGCCAACCACAGCCAGTTCTTGTCAGCTCTGTGTGTTCCTTTTCTGGGGTCGGCAGGTTTTGACTGGAACTTGGTGTTCAAATGGGATTACATGACACCCGAGCAGAGAAGATCCCGGCAAGGGAACCCCGTCGCCCCCATAAAGTAAGTACCAGGCTTGCTTCGGGGTGCTCCTCACAGGTTAAGTCTCAGACCCTGGCCCCACGTTCCCTAGAGGCCTAGTTGAGCTCGTCCCCCTCAGCCTTGTCCTAGCTCAGGAGTCACGTCTGCCACCAGATCACAGAATAAAGTGCTCTGAGATTTTGCTTCCTCTTGTGGAGTGTGATGTGTCCATGCAGTAGAAAGCCAGCCTGCCATCTGTGTCCCTCCACGTGTGTAACAGGGCATTTTCTGCGGCATCCAGGGGCTCCAAGTTGACCTCAGGGACCAGGGAGGGGCTGTAGACCAGGTGTGTATCAGGCCCCCTTCCGTGCCCAGCCTGAAGGTGCCCCCTCCTCAGCAGGCCTCTACTCACCCTTCCCATGGGGGAAGCGGTTTTCCTCACTAGCTCCCGGCTTGCTGTGGGTACACGTTGGGGGACAGGAGACCACCTGCAGCCAGGTATGAGCATGGAGGTGCTTCACCTTAGATATAGAAGGGGCTGCCAGCACCTGCGGCGTGCCGTGGACTTTCCCACTTGACATTAAATCCTCAAGCTGCTACTGAGAACAAAGGGACTCACTGCACATGCTGCTGTTAACCCCTTCCAGTCTGATGAGGGGAGGACAGAAAGTGGCCTGCTCCAGGGTAGGGGGGTGATAAAGATGGCAAATATACTGAGCATTTCCTCAGTGTGCAAATGCATTTCGTGTGTTGCTGTTTGCAATCCTCTGAGGAAAATTTCCTTAGTGTCAGTGAGCATTCCAGGCCCAGCCAGCAGTCACTCTCTCCAGGGGAGACTCAGCTCAGCCCCTTGCACTGTGGAAGCATCTGGGCTAGTGGGGAGGCATTTGAACACAGCAGTGGTAGAGCAGAGAGAGGGGCCCCGGAGCTCCGTCCCAAGCACAATGGCTGTGCTGATATTTTTCAGGTCAGCTTGCAGTGCTGACCTTAGTGGGAAGAATGCTGGCTATCTCACCTTAACCTTCAGCTTCTCCCTCTCTCCCCCACCCCTCTCTGTCTCCTTAGAACCCCCATGATTGCTGGAGGGTTGTTCGTGATGGATAAGTTCTATTTTGAAGAACTGGGGAAATATGACATGATGATGGATGTATGGGGAGGCGAAAACCTGGGTATGTATTAGTCTTGTGTCTTCACGTTCTTGTTTCCAATTCTGGTGAAGCCGTGGCCTTTTCCTGCCCACCAAGAGGGATACAAATGAAAGATGGAAGTTTGAAGAGACTGTTAGGCAAGAGTTTGTGGCACGTAGGGTGCCATTTGGAAGAAGTTTCAAAGACACTGGAGTTTATGAGACAAAATTAGTCCCCCTGTGAGAATAAATAACACTTGAAAGTGTCGGGCTGGGCACAGAAATGTGCAGACCTAAGGGTGCAAGATGCCGGGGTATAGGTCAGGTTCTTGGAGGAGAGAAACTACAAACACTTTTAATGTCATTTGAATCCCAGGTTTGGAACACATGCTCACAAAACTGGGGAGCCATTTCAGGCCCTAGGGTTCATGGGTAGCCACATTGAACAGAAAGTGAGCTCTGGAGGGCTCTCGGGTCATGGAAACCAGCTGGGGAGGGGCCCAGGCAGTCAGCCCTTCTTGACTGCTCTGTGAGGGACCCTAATTTGGTTGGATTTACTTTTTTCTAAATAACCTGTTTAATAACATTTTTATCCAAGTGTAGGAACAAAACTATATAGACGTTGGACTGTATTGGTAGCTGCATCATATTTACTGTATAAAGATGAAAACTTTTGTCTTGTTTAGGGTTCATTTTGTTTCACTTGAAGCGTCTAACTTCAGGTGCTCGGGGTTCCCAGCCGATTCTTCTCAGCTCTTAAAGGCTGTGAAATGGCACTCACCCTTGTGGAGACAGGCTCTGGAAGGACAGGGAGAGGAGGGGGAAATGAGGCCACTGTCACTTTTTGAAGTTTTCACTTGTAACAGACACTTTGATGGGTTTTGTTAGTTTAAAAGGAAAGACTAAATGAGCTTATCATTGTTCTCTCATTTTGTGATGTTGAAGTTCGTGGTAGCATCTCTGTGGAGCATTCCTCTGCCTCGGCTTGATGTTGAAAGGTTCTTTAGACTCAGTAATTACACTGGCGTGAAAGACCATGAGTCAAGCTCCTTTTGGGTATTTTTTAAGGCTACATTGACAGGCAGGCAGGACTTGAAGTCTTTGAGGACAAAGGTTTCAGAAGACTCCTTAACCATCTGGGGAGAATTCTGAGTCACCCTCACTGCAGAGATGTCCCCTGATGGCTCAGCGGAGACGGGCCAGCCAGGACCCCGTAGGAGATCACCTAGGCGACCATTTCCCAGAAGCACAGTGGGGTTTGCAGAGGTGTGTGCGATGAGCTGACAGCACTGGTGAGGTGATGACACGCAGCCAGGCTTGTTATGGTGAAGAAAGTGTATTGTTTAAATACCAAAGGAAATATTTCACTCAGAGACCAGAGAAAAGGAAGAGAATTTTTTTTTTTTAATTAGGTTTATTGTTGGGTTGGCTTGACTTTTTTTTTTTTTTTTTAAGATTTATTTATTTATGCTTACAAGAACTGGCATGTAGGCCAAAGGTGCAGGGGGTGAGAGGATTCACCAGAGACAGAATGGGGAACAGAAAGGCAGACTGACTGAAACACACTGCTGAGAGGAGCAGCAGGTGAGTCAGGAGAGGTCTGCTGTGCCATGTGGGGAGCTCCCTGGCTGGCCCGGGATCGAATTCGTGCTGCAGACACTGCAGATAGCTTCCCAGTACTGAGACTTAACCCCTTGGACCACCAGGGAGACCCTCGTTTTGACTTTTATGGAGTGCACCCTGCCGGGATGCAGCCTGGCATCTGCTGGCCCCCTGCTGGCTATAGAGAGGACCCTCTCAAGTAGCCTTAGTAGCCTTTTAGTTTCTTCAGAGGCTGAGCAGGCACAAGGGCTTTGGCAGGATAAGTCCTGGTGTGAGCCTCCTTTCTCGGGGTGCTCTGTGTGCACCACTAGCCACTGTCCAGCTTCTGTGGGTGTGTATCAGGAAAGAGGGGTTTTGGGGTGACTGAAGAAATCCAAGCAATCTCCTCCAAGTGTGTGTCACCAGAGTCTCTAGAGCTTGTTTCCCTAGCTAATGATGTAAGTCTAATATACGCAATTAAAAAGAAGGGCAGAGAGCCTGTTAACCAGCTACTGTGAGGATTTGGGCTCCTGGGGAACATTTTTTGTCCTTTTTGACTAAATGCTAAATACTCCCAGCGTATCCTCTCATTTCATGCTTTTTTGAAGGGCCCAGGCTCCCCCACACTCTTGGAGCTAGTCATTAGCAGAGCCAGAATTCGAGCACAAGCTGCCTAATTAAAAAGCCACCAAGTTATATTTGAGTAATCATCCCTCAGTTATAGGGCTCAAGCGAAAGCAGAATTGAATGTAGTTGTACGTGTACTTGGCCTTAAAACCTCCAACCAAATCTCTGTGCAGATCCTTGCTGCTTTACTAGACTCTCCACTCAGAGAGCTAGAAGGCCTGCTGAGCCCCCAGTTTTGAATTTTCCAATTAGGCCAATGTATATTTAGATTTTATTCCATAAATACAAGGAACTTATTTTCTTGGACACTGAAATGGACAGTGTAACTCTTCACTGTATCGACTTAGATGGTTATGACCGTGTTTAATACTATGAGAGAATCACAGGCCCATAGCAGCTACATGTATCACTCACTCCTAATGAGTGAGGTGTTTCCTGCACTTGGATTTGCTGGACCTGACATAAAACTCTGGCACTTCTGCCCCTAAGCGGGCTCTCACCCCTCCCACCTTGCAGCCGGGGTCTCTGCAGCACGTACCCCAGCAGCTCGCTTCTTAGTCTGGGGCGACCCTCCCGTTTCTGAGCCATCCCAATTGGCAGCAGTGACTGCTTGTTCTGTAGCTTCTGTCTTGCAAAATGATGTAGAGGAAATGCCCTTTTATACAAACCTCATGAAGTCTTTCAGAAAAAAAATTTGACCTTTTAGAATATTACATCTTGATATTTCTGTTTAACCTCAATTTCTCGCATCCAGTCGGACCTCTGACTCAGGCGACGGTTGCTCAGAATGGGTGGCGAGGAGTGCAGGAGCCTGCATGCCCCAGAAGTCACCCATGTGTGGGGAGTGTCTTCCAAGTATATATGCTGGGTGTGGGGGTTGTATGTGGGGGGGGGTGTATATGTATGTGCAAGTGCGTGTGCATCAGAGGCCCTGCACTTTGTATTTCCTCACTCCTGTGGATAGAGTTTGTACTGAGGCAGGTGAAGAGTGACCTTCACGAGGTCCATTGGTTACTGACTGGCAAGAGGCCATGACACTTTGAGGTATCTGTCTATTACTCGGGTGTCCTTGGTCACTACCATAATCCATAAATCACCTGCAAATTTGCCAGGTGGCTTGAGGCCTGTGAATGCACAAGGACAAACCTAATTTTTGCAATTTAAGGTAAGAGATTTTTTTTCCTGGATGGGTAAAGCCCAGGGGCATACTCATGCTCAGTGCGTTTGAAGTCTCTTTAGAGGAAGATGTTGTATGCAGCGGCCTGTCAATCCACTGTTGAAGCTTAGCTGTGGGCATTTCACGCTTTCTGATTCATACACTGCTTCAGTGTTGCTTTTTCTAACCATGGTGATATAAGCACGTGATTCCCATGATCATGGAGCTAGCAAAGAATTCAGTGCAAGCATCATCCACTGATGCTTGTGATCTTCCAGGGATATGTCTGATCTCATCCCAGTGAGCCTTTATATGCAAAAGAGACAGTCACCCTTGTTTCTAGTGTGAAACAGTCACTGCAGTCAATCTCATTAAAACATCACCCACACATTCTGGATTGTGCCACGGAGCCTCGAAACCCGGGACATGTCAGAGTCCCAACTGTGGAAAGTGCAGGACCATGTACCGGGCAGAGGTGTGTTCCTTATTCACACCTCCCTGAGCAGTACGGGGCGCAGTGGGATGGTGGTGGGTGGGCATCTGCACCCAGCCGGGGTGGCAGTGTTCAGAGCAGCCCCAGACCCTCTGGTCACCCCCCATCTCATTCTTCTCAGAGATCTCATTCCGCGTGTGGCAGTGCGGTGGCAGCCTGGAGATCATCCCCTGCAGCCGTGTGGGCCACGTGTTCCGGAAGCAGCACCCCTACACTTTCCCGGGTGGCAGCGGCACTGTCTTTGCCCGGTAAGTGTTGGAGAGGCTGGGTCGGGGACCACAAAGGTGGCTGACCACCATCCAGACCAGAATGGCTCTCAAACAGCATGGGGACGGAGTGTCACTTAGCAGTCACAGGGAGACACGACGACTCAGTGCCTCGCACAGGGTTTCTGCTGAGTGAAAGATGCCAGACTCATGATGCCAGACTGTTCCTTCATGGAACAGTCTCAGAAAGACGAAATGATGTGGTGGAGGATGGACCCGTGTTTGCTAGGGGTGGGGGAGGGCAAGAGGGCCTCCAAAGGAACGAGTCAGGGGGCTCTTGGGGGTGGAGGATGGACTGTCCTGCAGCCTGATGTGGTGGTCACCCAAAGCCCCCTGCCTGTGTGAAATCTCATAGCAATGTCCAGCCCCCAAATGAGGGAAAACGTTATTTTAAAGAAGAGAACAGATGCTTCTTTATTACCAATTACCTTTCAAGTACAGTCTACAAACAATATTAAAGTCAAGTTGAAAAGACATCATGAGATACAGATATGACTCATGAAAGATAATAGGTATATTTTAGCAAACAAGATGATGTCAAATGAAGAGCTTTTTGAAGAAAAATAGCAAATTAACAGTCAGTGGCACCACATTTTCCCCTGGGAATTCTTCTAGGAGCTAAAAGATAAAATGGAGTACAAGTCAGCAAGCCTGGCCACAAGGGAGGCGGGTAGCAAGCCCCCCACCCCCACCCGCACAGCCAAGTAAGATTGCTCCAAACACTCACAAAGGCTGTGAAAAGGTAAAAGGTGGGCCTGGCATCAGCTTTGTTGGGAGGAGGGGCGAGGGGGCAGGACATGTGCACGGAAGGGTCCTTCGAGTTGGAGGCACTGGTGTGAAACCTGCATGTTGGGAGCGACTTTCCCGGAGCCTGGAGCCCTGGGGGCGCCGGGCTGAGTCAGGTGAGTGCAGTGTGACTAGGGCCCAGTCTGTGAGGGACTGAGCCCGGGGGCGAGACCTGAGCTGACCTGTGTGGTGCACCCCTGCAAGTTGTGGGAAGCTGGGTTTTGCTGTTGGGGGAAGCTATTGGGTGTTTTAAGCAGGTACCCCTTTCTTATTTAGGCTTTAGAAAGGTCTTCTGTCTGCTGGGCAGAGGCTAGTGGTGCAGTGACACTAGGATAAATGGGCCCACTGCAGGGTCAGAGGCAGGGGAACGCCTAGGACCTGTCATCAAACCCCAGAACAGAAGAGGGGCCCCATAGCAGAGGTGTAGCTGCGCTCGTCACTAGGGCCAGGCCCCGCTCGCTCCTGAGGCAGTGACAGGAAACCAGAGCGAGGAATTGAGGGCACACCCAGGCTTGGGCACAGGACCCCACTGATGGGGCGCCCCTGCTGAGACAGACATGACACCCTACTGGTTTAGAGTCCGGTGGGGTAGGTTGGGGGCAGGGGGAATGACTAACATACCTCTTGCATGGTATTTTTCAACTTGTATTAAGTACAGATTTCACAACACAGAGATGTTGAATTTTCAACTCAGAGAATTTTAAGATCTGGGAAATTTTATTTATTTATTTATTTTTAAAGATTTATTTATTTATACAAAAACTGGAATACAGGTTAGAGGAGTGGGAGGGTGAGAGAATTCACCAGAGAGAGTGGGGAGCAGAACAGGCAGAGAGACGGACGCCACACCATGTGGGTTTCTCCCTGGCTGGCCGGGAATAGAACCTGTGCTGTAGAGGCCGCAGACAGCTTCACAGCGCAGTGCTCAACCCGCTGTACCACCGGGGAGACTCTCTGGGAAATTTTAATAGAAGCCAAATATCAAATAATTATTGCTTCAAGACCAAATTACCTTCCCTGGGAAAGAATATCCTTTTCCGAACATTGTCTAAATTTCTTCTTCGCCCCGTATTAGAAACAAAAATATTGTCTTATACAATAAGCTCTATAAATATCAAACGTTTTTCCCCGAAGGCAACACGTGATTCTTTCCAGAAACCTCTTATAGAGACATATCAAATATCCCAAATCACGGCTGTGTTGGTATCTACCGGCAAACAGCTAACAGCGGGATTTCAGAAAATGGTATGTTAGACTAGATGACATTGCTTTCCATAGGTTTTTTTTAAAAGCACTCTTTTTTAGAAGGGAAACTTTTTTCCCATTGCCTGTCTTTCATTCTGTGCCACAGGAGCAATACGGAGAGAAAGCAGACCTGGGTTTCAGAGTTTGGGGACAGCATAATCTGTTAGGTCTTTAGCAGTGCCCTCCCCTGCCCCTAGCCCAGTCAGTCATCTCAGAGATTTCTGAGGTCTTACTCTACATATTTCCTCTGACATTAAATGAATAAGTATTTCCATCAAAAATTTGAGACTTAACAAATAGCCAATATTTATTAGTGTTTTATGCATTCCAGGCTGTTCTAAGTACTTCACAAATACGAACTTACATTGTCATAAAACTTTGTGGATTAAATACTACTAATCTCCACTGCAAGGATAAGGGAAACAAGGCAAAAAAGCTTTAGCTTCTCTGTCCCAGTTCACAGAATTGAAAAGGTACTGATTGGGGTCACTCCAGAGCCATAGCCTTACCACACATCAATTTTTCGTCTTATGTATCTAAGGTTTCAGGTCTTCAGGAACTAGATACTAGATAGCGTGAAGAGGAGGATCTCATTTATGTGAGTTGGGTGGTTGGTAAATGAGTGGTGAATGACGAATATGTGGAACCAGCAGGTGTGGGGTCCTGCCTTGTTTTGTCACCCCCAGGTCAGCCACAGGGGCACCTGTCACTTAGAGTAAGGTGATGACACACCTGCACATTCTTGCATCATCTCTCTGGTTATGGCAGCCACTTCCCCACCTCCCTTAAGACCAGTTGAGAGTAAACAAACAGTTCCTTCCTTTTTTCTTTTTGCACAGTCACCTTTCCAAGCAGCTTCTCATGATCCCCATCAGAGACTGTGTGAAGAGTGCTGTGTGTGCTTGAGTGTGCTGATCGAAGTTTACTCAAAGGCCATGAGTAGTGGGGTGGCAATGGGGTGGATCTCTCAGAAGGAGATTTGGTTTTAGGTTAGCAAATAATGGTGAGGAGCATATCAAGAAATTAAATACAGGAAACCCGTGGTTTATAGTTACCCTCTTATCAAAGTTTTTTCTGTTGTTACCACCAAGGAATATAATGGACTGGTTTGAATCACACTTTTTCTCTCCTGCCTGCTTCCCGGTAGAGCTGCTTATCTGCTTATCTGGGTCCCCTGGGTTGAAGGGAGCCAAAACAAGGAAAGCCTAGAGAATCAAGGTGTTCCTCTCCAGGAGCCTCAGTGTCCACAGCACCTGCAAGACTGTTGTTGGAATGAGTGACTCGTAGCTAGCACTGAGTAACACATGAAGCTTATTTTGGGGAGATTCCTACATATCTTTTTCTGCTAAGTAGACAGAAAAAGGTTGCCTTGCATTTAGGAATTAAGAAATGACTTTAAAGACTTAAGTGATTTAAAACCACGATATGATTGGAAATTATAAAACCTTTATACCATTAGAGCTAAGAGTAGCCTAGGAGTTCCTTGAATCAAATCCTTTCATTTTCCTGATGGGGAATCCAAGTCCCATAGATCTGACTTACAAGGCCAGCTACAGGTTAGGTCACAGGCTACTTAAAGACTCCACAATCCCAATAAGAATATTTCACATCTCTAATGAGAAATAAAACTGCTCATCCAGTATCCCCAGCACTTTAAGTCTGTAGGTGCACACTGTTGTGGCTATGTTGGCTATGTATTTTTTTTTTTTTTTTAACAGAAAGTAGAAGAGCCATCTCATCAAAGAGAACACTCTTAGGACTGGTGAATCAGTCTCTCAGCCTTTCCCCATGCCCCTTCTCCCTCCCCATCCCCTTCTTCCACTCACCTCTGTTGTGTGCTGTTCTCCACTCTGTTTTGCCTTCAGAGTCTCGGCCCTCCCTCCTGGCAGCAGGCAAGGTGCACCCTCCAGCTCAGACCCTCCAGTTCAGTGCCAGGGATTCATCCTTTTGTTGGGTCACTGACCAGCTGCTATAGTTTTCTGAGTTGTTTGCCATGACAGGTAGTGCCGAAGTTAACATATCTCCACATAAATACTTTCACTTCTAGTTGCTTATTTCCTTGAGGTACATTTTTAGAAACAGGAACTGCTGGATCAGAGGATGGGTCCTTCCTGTTGTCTGCTGCTTAGACAGCCTTCCTACCAGCGGAAAAGAAAAACAGGTGTCGACATCACTTTATATGAAAGATAAATGCCCCAAGCTGAAATTGTTTTAATAACTGTAACTCATATCATTTGAAGGGCTCCCCATTTACAAGCTCCCTTTCAGGTAAAGAAAATGAATTCCTTGCAAAGGTACACATTGCCGCCTCCTGTGTCCATTTGGGAAGAACAGCACACCTTCTGTATGGGTTCCCAGGAGGACTGGCTCCAAGCCTACTGTGCGAACCTACTGTGACACCGAGGGCAGGATTGGGGAGCAAAGAACTTCACAGGGCCTTGAAGGGATGTTGGTGGGATGAGATGCAGGTGCCTGTGCATGCAGCAGCCTTTAATCCAGGCCATCCATTCAGAAGTAGCTTGTTCTAGGAGCCTTATTTACCATGAACTATGGTTGTCTGCATGATGGTGAGCTGTAAGCACATGGTTTTCTTGCCTACTAGAAAAGTCTGCTTTGCCTGTGCCTCTCCAGCACCATGTAGTGGAGCCCCAGGTGGGGGTCATAAAGCTTCACACCATGATTCCTTGTCCAAGGACTCTGTCTCAGCTCAGGTCTGCAGAAAAGAAAGGAGTAACTCACCTGTCCTTAGCTCTTTCCCAGAGCTAAGTTGTGTGACAGCCATTACAAGGAAGGCCATAGAAACAGGATTTCTTTGCTGCATTCCCTGGTAACAGCCTTCAGTAGAAATAATACAAGTTATTGCAGAGGAATCCTCTTTTGTTCTTTATGGCACAACTCCAGTTCTTTAAAATACCTGTCTGCGCTGTAATTCTAACTTGAACACAGCGTGTTCTGTTATAGGCAAGAACATGTGTCCTGTTTGTTCTGTAAGCACAGGCTGAACCCCAGCCACCCACAAACTCAGGCAGGGCTGCTGCATGGGATGCCTGCTCTCTGCCCCTCACTCTGGGATGCTGCCTGAGCTCCCTGCCCGCCTAGGAGGACCTTCCTAAGTAGCACTCCAGGCAGGTGCAAACAGTGGTGTGATGGGGAGAAAGCAAATCACAGTTCAAGGAGATTTATTTTGTTTCTAGTAACACCCGCCGGGCAGCTGAGGTCTGGATGGATGAATACAAAAATTTCTACTACGCAGCAGTGCCTTCTGCCAGAAATGTTCCTTATGGAAAGTGAGTGACCCTTGTGCCCTCTCATACTGCTTTACTTGGGATCCTTGGGAAGGAAGAGGGGGATGTGGCCAGTTTGTACCCCAAGAACCATTTTGTGACCAGAGTTGAGAACAGCCATCCAGGTATCAAAAGGGGCAGGGCCTCTCCTCAAAGCCAGGCCGCCAGGTCTGTGTCAGGCGGTACTTAGGGGGTGGGCAGGATTCCAGGGTCCACGCCCTACTGCCTGCCCAACCTGGTCTTGTTGGCAGATTTCCAAGTTTCCAGAAAGCTCATCCCTTCCTAAAATGTGTCAAGGAATATTATTTCCCTCTCCTCTAGTATTCAGAGCCGATTGGAGCTTAGGAAGAAACTGAGCTGCAAGCCTTTCAAATGGTACCTTGAGAATGTCTACCCAGAATTAAGGTAAGACCCTGAGGTCTGGGAGTTGAATTCTGCAAGGGCTTAGAAGGGTGTCAGAAGTAACGAGTGTGGCTCAAGAGGTGAAGTAAAGGTTCATTGCACGTGAGTCAAGAGGCCGGGAGCTGGGGCTCCCAGTGAGAACCGCTGTCCTTGCCCCAAGGCTGTCCTCAAGGACCCCAAGAACCTGCTCCCTGAATTGCTCTGCCCTCCCGTTCCTGCTGATGTTCTTTCCATTCTTCGTGAACCTGGAAATAGCCCCCAGGGATCGGCTGGTGTCACTTGTTCCTATTGACAGGACAGGCCTGTGTGTGCCAGAGGACTTTGTCTAACTGCCTGTGTCAGAGGACAAAGGGGGAGTTCCCGGCCTCCCGGGGGGTGTGCCCTGTGTCTTCTTCCAGGCCTGCCCTGCCCAGGTGCCTGCGCTGGCCTCCTGCAGCCTTGCCCTGCTCGCTCCTCCTGCGCTCCCTGGTGGGTGTCGGAGCAGGGGCCGGCACTGGCCCAGTAGACACCAAAGATTAAATCAGCTGCGTCACTTCCCGCTTGGCTTCTGCTCAAAGGGCGCAGTTGCCACTTCCATGGGCTGGCAGAGTAGCATGCCCAGCAGAGCTGGGGGAACAGGACCCTGCCCAGTGCCTTCTCCTGCAGCTGTTTGTGCCATGCAGAAGACAGGAATAAGGATACTGGCCCCTGCTTTCTTTCCTCTGCAGATGGCGGTGACACAAATACCCTTCCGAGCCATCTCTCTACACCCAGACTTTCATTTTAAATTGATGTGCACTCCTGTCCTGCTCCCCTCATCAGAGGACCTGTGGCCTGCAGGGCCTGGGGACCCATCTGAACTTCCTCTCCTTAAAGGGACTGCCAGGCAGCTTTGGCCTTACTGTGGCACATTTCTTATTACACATATTCCCAGGGCATTTGCAGCGAGTCACGTATCGAGCACAGTGACTGCATGTAGGCATCGCCACCATATCTTTGTGCTAACAGCACCTACAGAGCCTTGTTCCAGAGACTCATTGGGGGTTAGGTCATGCGGGCCAGCCTTATTACTGCTATTCACTTACGTCTCTTTGGAACTGTTTTCTTTGCTTTAAAGTAACTTAGGAGACCCTGTGCCGCCCTGCCACCTGGCCAGATGGACCCCTTCCACTGGGCCCGTCTTGAAGGATGGCCTTGCTGTGGCTTGAGAGCAGTGCCGGTCACCGGTGCGAAACCCTGGGCATCGTCTTGCTTGCCAACAGTGGGGGCTTCTGGCAGTGGACCAGAGCCTTTAATGGTGCCCCTTTGTTCTCGCTGTTACCATGGTTGGCAGGTGACAGCATCAGACAGAGTAACAGTTTCACTCTGACGTCACCTGAGATTTGGAGTGACATTAGACCCTGCACCACTTAAGATCACATCACAAGCAGTCAGCACCACAACAGCAGCTTCCCCCACCTGTGCCAGGCCTGGGAGACGCCGGCTCAGTGTTTGTACTGATAGGAACAATTTCTGACATTTACTAGGTCCTTCCTATGAGCCAGGCACTGTGCTAAATGCCACAATGAAACATAACACTTGCAACAGACCTATTTAGTAGGTACTGTGCAGAAAAGGGGTGCGGGGTTTATAGAGAGTCAAAGACCTCACCATGCATGCAAGCACAGGGCTCAGATTCGGGTCTGATCCAAAAATGTGGTGCTCCCACCCATATGCTCCCTGACCTTGTCTGGCCACTAACACACCCACTTAGGTTCCCCACTACTCGGGAAAGTCCATATCTAAGGCTTAGAAAGTTCAAGATAATTGGATTTGACCCCATTAACTGCTTTTCTGAGTGACTTCTAACCGTGTAGACATATTTCCTTACCAGAAAAATTTCCCTGATTCAAAATAGGAAGAATACTTCTCCAACTTCACTCTTTAGTTAGGGTTAGATATCCAGAAACTCTAAGATGCTCTGTCTCGCTGACAGCGCTGCCCATGCAGCAGGGGGTGCCAGGCCTGGTGGTGACCTTTCGCTTGAGATGAAATCTCAAGATTTCATCCTTCTGCTTGAGATGCCTTCTGCTTGAGATGAAATCACTTAACAAAGTGATTTACAAAGGGGTAAGTGGTGAGAGCTGGTGGCTGTGAACTTGAGCAAGTGATTCTCATGTTGCTTTCCAGGGTCCCCGATCACCAGGATATAGCTTTCGGGGCCTTGCAGCAGGGAACCAACTGCCTCGACACTTTGGGACATTTTGCTGATGGTGTTGTTGGAGTCTACGAGTGTCACAATGCTGGGGGTAACCAGGTATGTGCATGGGGTGACCCTGAGCACCTGGAGGCCAGAGGGAACAGGAACAGCTGGATCCTGAGGTCCAGCTGCCGTCTCTCTCCTGTGTCAGAGATGACGTGAGGATGTCCTGCCAGTCAAAGCCACTTACAGGCCACCTCAGCTGGGATGTCCCAGACCTGACTGGCATGGGGAGCTGGTCATCCACCTTGGGCCAGGCTCCACTCGTGGCAGAGGCACCTGTGCTAACGCTGACCTCTAGCATCCATTGTCAAGGCACGGCTGCAGCCAGTCACCTGGGTCTTGTCCTTATCATCATCTTGCAGCCACTGCCCTCTTCCCGGTGACATGTGCTCACCCCCAAAGTATCTGTGTCTATAACTGCATGTCGTCCCTAAATGAGCTTGTGAATGCTTACCCGTGTCCCTCCCTAACTGTCCCTCACCACCCTGACTGGCCGCTGCTCGTCATTGTCGTTCCTGCCTATTAGAATAATGATAGCTGAACTATAAAATATTGACAATTACTTGCTCCTGCAAATTTGTGACAAACACAAACCTTTCCTAGAGGTGTGAAAACCCACTGCATTCTGTCTTCATTGAAAAGGGAGAGCTAAATGAAGGTTTGATAGGCTTAATGGTGGCCTGTGTGTTCCAAAAGGACAGTGTTCCAAAAGGCGGTACTCCTGTGAGATAATAATAGGTATTTGGGCAAATGTGGGCTTTGTATACAAGAAAGCCTGGGCAATGCTGTGTACTCTGCTCTCCTTGAAAGTATGCCTGGCTCTCAGAGGGTCTGCAGCTAAAAAAAAAGACAATAGCTGTTTTTTCAGATGTATTGATTGCAGAACCTTCTTTAAATGGAACTATTTTTTTTTTGAAGATTTATTTATGCATACAAGAACTGGGGTACAGGCCAGGGGTGTGGTAGGTGAGAAGACTTACCTGAGACAGAATGGGGAACAGAACAGGCAAACTGACTAAAACACACTGCTGAGGGGAGCAGTGGGCAAGACAGGAGAGGTCTGCCGTGCCATGTGGGTATCTCGCCGGCGGCTGGAATTGAACCCACGCTGCAGAGGCTGTGGACAGCTTCACAGCACTGTGCTCAACCACCTGCGCCACCAGGGAAGGCCCTGGAACTATTTTTAAAAGAGGGTTCCTGCTTTCATGTAAAGTTGGCTGTTGTGGATGCTCCTGAGGAGTGCCCAGACTGCAGTGCTCGGTGCTTCTCTCCTCGCTGGGCGATGCAGAGGCCAAGGTTACCTACAATGGCCCCCAGAGAGACAGTGAGGGGCAGGAGAGGAAGGGTGTCTCACCTCCTTGGCTCAGTATCCCCAGGCCTAGCCCTGCCCCACCCAGCACACCCCTGTCACTCCAGGCTCCCAGGCTCCAGATCTCTGTCCTTGGCCTCTGACTTCTGGGGATGCGCCCAGGGACAGGCTTCATGCTCTGAGTGACTCTCAGACAGCCCTGGCTACAGCTTGATTTGTGAATTTTAAATATTTAAACCTATGACTCATGGATCCACAAGTGGCAGGAATGGCCCTGGAAGGAGGATCTTGGAAAGAGGGAGGAAGAAGTGCAGCAGAGGAAGGACAAGCAAGGAAACAAGAGCCAGACAGTGTTTGTGGGACCAGGAAAGGAGAGAGGGGCCCTCCCACCACCCGCCTTTCTGTCTCCTCGTCAGCCTGAAGAGACAGGCCTGTGTGTGCAGACGCTTCGCTCCTGATCTCTCCCCCTTTGCTCCTGTGAAGTCATGACCATTCTCACAGTAGAGCTTTGCTTTTCTTTTCAGTGAACATTGGCTCCATGCCTGCTGTGCCTGGCACTGTGCCAGGCCTTTGGGGGTCACTGTCCTGGGCAGTGGCTCCCTGCATGCTCTCAGCACTTCCCCAGGGCTGCACCTGGAATAGCCCCAAGGGCTTTTAGAAACACTGATGTAGGGTCCCCTGCCCAGACAGCCCGATTTAATTAGTCCAGGGTAGAGCATCAGGAGCTTCCAAAAGCGCAGCTGGGTGTGAGGATGCGCGATGGCCCATTGTCGGCAGGCAGCAGCAGGCAGCATGGCAACCTGGTGTGCGCTCACCCAGCACCTGGGGTCACCCCCCTAGCTGCATTCCAGATCAGTACTTTATGTCACTGAGAATATTCTAGATCCGCACCACCCAGTATGGAGCCACCAGCAACACATGGCGACTGAGCACTCAGAATGTGTCTGGTGTGCCTCAGGGTGTAGTTATTACTTAGTGGCTACTGGGCAGGTATTGGAGAGCATGGTGCCGGGCAGACAGGCAGCCAGAGTGCATGCTCACGCCCACAGCTGAGCCTCAGTCCAAACTGGTAGAAAGTGACACTGTTGTGAGTCGTGTGCCACAGGGATGAGAACCGAGAGGGTGAGTGACGTGTCGTGGCTAAAACCAGGGCCCAGGGCTCTGGAAGGGTGAGCTTGGGGATCTAGTGTCTGAGGGGTGAGCAGACACACAGGAAATGGCAGATTTAACAGCGGTGCTTTTTAAGAGTGGCAGCTCATAAAAGCATTTCTTAAATATTTATGAACTTTCTTACAAATTCAGTTCATTGAAATGCAACAGAAGAACAAAGTGACAAATAGCTCAGTTGTTTGCATAGCTGAATTAGTTGTTCTGGAATTCAGTGTAAAGTCTGCTATAAAATAATTAAGCACACAATAGCAAGAAGTTGTAGAAACATTCAGACGTGAGCTTTAACTGCGATCAGCAAACTTTCCAGCCCCTCCTTCCAACCCTCGAGGGGGTGCTTTGCGGTGGGCATGACACAACGCGTGGAGGTGTGGTGATCTCAGTGAGTGAGAAGGGCCTGGACACGCTCCTTCTGGGATCTGTGCACCTCAAATGCCATCCTAAACTGAGGGGACGGGGAGTATCTGCTGGTGCTTTGAAAGCACCACTGTGGGGTGGCTGTGGCAGTGGCCGGCAGCGGTAGCACCAAGCAGACAGATTCGTCCCCAGGGTGCTCTGTGGTTCTCAGTGCCAGAGCCGCCATCAGGACAGATGGAGACAGGCAGCAGGCACTGATTTGGGCGGCACGACAGAAAGCAGACCAAGCAGGTTCCTCTCCTTCAGGGCGTCCAGTCTTTCACAGGCTATTTGTCGGTTTGCCAGAGAGAAACATGGCCCACAGTGTTGACCTAATCCATTTGACCTGAAACCATCTTTTCATAGAATTCCTCAGAGTACCCTTCGAGAAACACTAGTCAAAAAGTGAGAACATTGATGCCCAGGAAGGTGAGGGGATCGCCCGAGTCTCACTCTGTCAGGGGAAAGGGAAGCCTGCAAACAGGCTGAGGGGGTTTGCCAGACCCTGCACCCCTGCACCTGAACCCGCCAGGGCTGACACCAAGCGACTTAGGTACTCAACAGTGAGGCATCTTTAAAAGATGATTTATTCCTGGGCCTCCCCTGGTGGCGCAGCGGTTGAGCGCTGGGCTGCGAGGCTGCCCACAGCCTCTGCAGTGCCCGTTCGTTCCCCGGCCGCTGGCGAGGGTCCCGCACAAAAAAAAAAAAAGATTTATTCCTTTCCTCTGACCCCTGAGAGCAGAGAAAAGAAAAACAGTTTCTCCGTAGCAATCGGTTGTCCTTAGAGTCACGTAGTACATTTATTCTTGTGTTAGCATCCTCTTCCCTGGAGAGAGGGCTCCCTGGGCAGGGCCGTGCTTGTCTGTCCCCTGCATGTGTGAGAGTACCAAGTCCTTACAGGGGTGAGTGGACACTCTTGAGTGGGTGTATGAACAGCTTTGCTGGGCATATGCAAAAAGGGACCCAGGACTTGGGGGCGGGGTGTCCCTGTGGGATTCTCAGTGGTTAGGGACCTCTGCTCTAGATCTGGAGGGTTCGCTTGACTGTCCTTCTCTGAAGGGCCCAAGTTCTACAGTGAAAGTCAGAAGCCTCCCTTCAGTCCCAGCTGTACCCCTACCGAGAGCAGGCGTCCCGCCTCCCCTGCCACCTGTGGGCACCCTTACCTGTCTCCTCCTTCCTCCCGCTTCCTCCCTCCCGGTGGACGTGCTTCATGTTCAGAATAAGTGGTCGTGCTCTCAACCCTGTCTCAGCCCATCAGGGTGTGTGCTGCTTTTAAAATCTTGGGTGAGTTATCTTAGCACTCCGTGGCTCCATTTTCTCATCCATAAAATGGAAAGAATAATAGCCTCTCGTGGTGCTGTTGTATAAAGGGCTTAAAGTAGTACTTTGCACACAAAAGGCACCCGTCAGTGTTAGCTGTGTGGTGTGTGTGTCCAAGTACATAGATGCCTTCCTAGGGGTCTCACAGAACTGCAGGAGCATCAGTGGGTCAACGTAATGCTCAGTTATGAGGCTGTACACTATATGCTTTGTTTCAGCAGCCAACATTACAATCCACGTCATGAATGTTTTCCATGCTCTGTTGGGATGACAGAGTTGTTCCAAAATAAGGTGGGAGGGAAAGTTGACCTTGAACTCTCCACCTCATGGGCACACAAACTTGAGCTGCCATGTTTACAGCTCACATTCAATTATGGAAAAATGGGCTTGATGTTCTACATTTGTATTTAGAACCAAAATAAGAGTTAGTCACTTGGGTCCTCAGAGCATTTTTGAATGTCAGTCGGTCAGTGTAGTGCTCAATTGTGACCCCCTAGTAACCCCCAGCCACAGATTTACTCACAGACACAAAGTCATTGGTTCTGACTTGGTTCAGAGGTCCTGGGTCTTGGCTGCCCAGTGTCACCCATTTCCCTTATTTATCCATTGCTTTGACTTCACAACCCTGCATGCAGCGCGCCTCTGCATCTGTTCTGTGTTCCAGGAATGGGCCTTGACAAAGGAGAAGTCAGTGAAGCACATGGACCTGTGCCTGACCGTGGTAGAGCGGGCGCCCGGCTCGCTGATAAAGCTGCAGGGCTGCCGAGAAAACGACAGCAGACAGGTATGGTCCTCAGGCCCCGAGAGCCCAGTGCCCCCAACCCAGGCCAGCCTGTGCTCCAACTGGTCAGCTGTTGGGGCCTCACTTGGTAACTAGACTGAGGACAGGGATTGTATTTTGTGATTGTTCAGCTCCCAAAGGGCTTGTAAAGACCTGCTCTGAGCAGGCACTGGGGTGTGACTGCAGGACATCTCTTCCTCCTGGTGGGTGCCAGGTAAGCAGTGTTGGTGGCCCCTTTTCTGGAAGTTTATTGATAGCAGCCATTGTGCCCGGCACCTGGATGTAGGTACCCTGTAATGCTGAAATGTTTGGTGGTGTCAGTGAATACCAGAGAGTGGGGATACTGGGGACTGGTGCACACATGTTTAGCACTGGACAGTGAAATGGAACCCTGTAACTCCGCCTTGTCAAACCCCCTGGAGGCACAGACCTCAGGCCCGGAAGCAGGCAGTGGCCACAGCAAAGCAAGGCCCAAGGCCCCCAGCTTCTCTGTAGAACCGAAAGCAAAGGGCAGGTCACTTGGCTCAGCCAGGGAAGATGCCAGTCTAAAAGAGTACAAGTTCTGTTTAAAGCTTTATTTAAAAAATGAAAGTGTTTGGTCTGTGCAGGGCATCTCCCTTGCCGGGCTCTGCTCACTTTCACAGTCCTCAAATGCCCATCTGTGCTGATGATGCAATTTCATGACTGTGGTACCTTAGTGCGTGAGAGTCACTGAGAGCTGCTTCCCCTTGGGCCCAGGCCACCTGCAAGTCAGGCGTGGGATGAGCCTGGTATTAACCAGTTCTTACTCAGGATGCCTCAGCATTTCCCCAGGACGTAAGGGGGCAGGAGCGTCTGTGGAGATGCACAGGAGACGAGACAAAGTAATGACTTTATCTGATCTCTAAACCTTTAAAAAACAAAAGCACGGAGGCTGAATTTCAAGAGCCATCACTGATACCCCTTAAAGATTCACGTCATGAAATGGAAAAAGACTTGCCAACAGTAGGCTTTTCTAGATAGGTGTATATCAGTGAGGATCTGTTCTTTGAGAACCCCTAGACTTAGCCCATTAGAGAGGGGTGTGGAGGTCACCCCTTCTCTCATTAATCTGCCCCCTTCACTACAGTCCTCTCAGACTGTTATAGGACAGGGAGGGGGCAGCCCAAACCCCGCAAACCTGCCTATTCTAAATGGGTTCTGCCATCCGCCGCATCAACACAAAACATAGGAGACTTTAATGGGAAGGAACTTTAATAAAACTAGGAAACAATACAGGTAAGGCAAAGAGTCTAGTTTCTAAATCAAGTACCCAAGTTACCCGTCCCCTTGTGGGTAAAACTCCATCCAAATGGGATTGGCCCAGAGCAAGGCCCCAGAGCCTGCCACAAGTCTAAAGCATCTTCCAGTGGGGACCCACAGAAAAGGGTCAGAAACAACCAGACAAGCCCAGAAGGAAAAGAGCAAAATCAACATCAAGATAAAAGCTGCCATTGTCACCTCCCCACGGGTCTCACCCACATCTGTGTTACCCAGTCCACGACCAAAAGACAAGCGCAGTTTCTTCACGTGTCTCTAGGCTCCATGCGCCTCCTCCAGGTCTCCTTCTGGCTCTATCCTGCTCCTTCTCCTCAGTCTCCTCTGCATCCTCTTCTCTTCCTGCTCAGCTCCACCCTCCCTTGGGTGGGGCAGGGAACCTGGAACCTCCGCCTTTCCTGGGGACTACCCTGTTACAAGACCAGTGGAAGAAAGCTGCCTAGGCTGCCTTCCAGAGACTGAGGAGGGGGGTGCTTATTTTTTGTCAGGCCCTCCATTTAGCTGATGCTTTGATACATGACAAGCAGAGCCCCCTCCAGAGAATGGAATCAGATTCCATTCATTCCACATTCTTTGTCAAGCTGATTCCTGGCCACTCAGAGTGACACCTGGATGATGGCAGCCACATACACACTTTACATGACAATGGAGGAAAACAGCATGAAGAATGACTGACAGGAAAGAGGGAACCAGAAATGAAGAGGGGATGGTGGGCAGGTAGTGATGGCCTCCCCGGCTCACCTGATGCACTGAATTTCACTGTTGGCAAAAACTGCAGTTAGCAGGCCAGAGTAAACAAGTATCACCAGGTCCTTATGAGAGCATCCTCCTCGCAGAGATGATCCTGCGTTAGCTCCCAGGGGCACCAGACTCCTCTCTGCTGGCTCTGCCTCCTTCCCCACCTCACTCATCTGCCCTTTGAGAAAAGGTTCCTTGGTTAATTTTATCTTGAAACTGGAAGAAATATTTGGTTTCCAAGCACGTCTGTGTGTCCGTGTTATGTGTACATTTGCAGAGTCAAAGGGGAAAGGGAGGCAAGAGTAAGAAAATTTAATTCCACGGTGTCAGAAGGATTTGCAGAAATACTTACGTAAAGGAGCTTTAGTGCACACAGTGTAAAAAATTAATTAGAATCACAGACTCCATTAATGAAGGGAGAGCTTTGGGGAGAAAAAAATGTGTTAAGTATTTTTTTTAAGAACGAAGATTTTTACATAGGGATAAACAACAGGATGGGAAGTTCTCAGATTTCTTTCAGGCTGGGATTTGGTCATTGTTTTTGGCCTGGTTGGTTGGGTGATAGTGTAACAGGGTGGTCCCCAATAAAAGGGGGAGGTTCCAGGTTCCCTGCCCCACCCAAGGCAGGGTGGAGCTGAGCAGGGAGAGAAGAAGCTGCAGAGGAAACTGAGGAAGGAAGGAAGCAGGATGGAGCCAGGAGACCTGGAGGAGGCGCATGGAGCCTAGAGACACGTGAAGAAACTGCGCTTGTCTTTTGGTCGTGGACTGGGTGACACAGATGTGGGTGAGATCCGTGGGGAAGTGACAATGGCAGCTTTTATCTTGATGTTGATTTTGCTCTTTTCCTCCGGGACTTGTCTGGTTGTTTCTGACCCTTTTCTGTGGGTCCCCGCTGGAAGATGCTTTAGACTTGTGGCAGGCTTTGGGGCCTTGCTGGGCCAATCCCATTTGGATGGAGTTTTACCCACGAGGGGATGGTAACTTCGGGTGCTTGATTTAGAAACTAGACTCTTTGCCTTTCCTGTATTGTTTCCTAGTTGTATTAAAGTTCCTTCCCATTAAAGTCTCATATGTTTTGTGTTGATGCAGCAGATGGCAGAACCCATTTAGAGCAGGCAGGTTTGCAGGGTCTGGGCTGCCCCCTCCCTGCCCTGTAACAATAGGTGAGTTGAGTTGAGTTGTTTGCTGGGTTGATTGGTGATCGAATTTGCTTGGTTGGTTGGTTGAGTTTGGCTGGTTGGTTTAGCTTGAGTGGGGTGTACATTTAGGAAGACTATACTTTGCAGGTGCCATGTTTAGAACTCAACAGATAATACTTGGCCCCTGCCTTGCAGAGTTCTGGGAGACTCAGGGATGACTGAGACAGGCTTCTCACACCTACCAAGGAGCCCACAAGAAGGCACTATATAGAAAAGAATAAGCTTTTCAACATGATGCTCTGTCCTCACAAGCGTCTTTCCCTCCATTCTGACCTGACCATTCCTCTGGTTCAGCTGAGCATAAGACCTAAGCAGGAGCATGGGGATGCCCACACAACAGCCTTGGAGCAGGGCTGCCTCGAGCTGCTGGGGCCAGCGTGGGGCCATTAGAGCTGGCTCAGCTTCCTGTGACTCCTTTATCGGGGTGAAATATCATTAGAGGAGGCTCTCTTTACAGGAAATTCCCTGCCCCCTTTGTCACTGAGACCAGGTAATTGCTCAAGACACTCAGACTTGGCCAAGGGGACACCCAAAGGGACATGTGATTGTAGAAGTGTCTCTCCATGGGGCCCAGAAACAAGTTTAGGGTACAAACCAAGACAACTTGGGTTTCTTTCCTGGGCCATCAGCGCATGTATGGCTGGTTTGTCTTGGGACTATTATCTCCTGTCCCTTGTTTTCAGAGACCAGAAAAAATGTTTGTTTTTAATGTCGTCAAAGGACCCTGGAAACAGACTGTGCTATGCTCATGTGTTTGTGCTCCCATGCTACTGTGTCTTGCAGAAATGGGAGCAGATCGAGGGCAACTCCAAACTGCGGCACGTGGGCAGCAGCCTGTGCCTGGACAGCCGCACGGCCAAGGCCGGGGGCCTGAGCGTGGAGGTCTGCGGCCCTGCCCTGTCCCAGCAGTGGAAGTTCTCGCTGAACCTGCAGCAGTAGGAGAGCCGGGGCCAGGCGTCCTTCTCCCGCACCATCCGACTGAGTTTGATGATCACGTTCTTGATTATGTTTCTTAAACTTTCCGCGAAACTATATACCTCAGTATTCCATCATGGTCTGAAAGTCGGAGAACTTCAGCAAGGCCTGGGGGACCAGGTGGGCCCAGCGGAGGCAAGAAAAGAGAACTGCTCCTCACCTCACAGGACGCAGACAGCACCCCCTTCTGGAGGCCACGCCACCCCCTTCCTTCCCAGCCTCCACAGAGCAGCACCCCTGGCGACAGCAGCAAAAGGAAGAGAAGGACCCGAGGCCTGTGCGGTGGAGGGAGGGAGGGAGGGAAAACGGGGCGTGGCTGCCATCCCGCAGCCAGGAGATCTCTTCCTAGATCTCCATTTTTGACCCCATGGGAATCACGTGTGGTTTCCGCAGAATCGAATCATGTCACTTTGTCCGCAGGTTTACGTGTGTCCCTCCCCCCGCCCCGTTCCCAACTGTCTTCCTAGCACAGACCCCTCTTCCACATGATGTACTTGCTATATTTGAATATGAACTTTTCTATGGTGGGACACTAAATATAAATATATATATAAAGAAAGAATGTACGGTCAGTTCCCTATGGTTTCTGTAGGTCACCTCATCTTGTAAATTCCCCACAGAGCAGTTTGCAGCCGAGGAGGGAGTGGGACACTTCCAGGTCAGGCTCTTCCAGAAGGAGGACATGGCCTCCTTGGCCCGCTGGAGCCTTATCTGTGAGTAGGTGCTACTGCGGCCAGCCGGGGTCTGGACAAGCGTGCCCCGGAGGCTGGCCATGCCCGGCGCCCCAGACTGCCACCCTCAGGCCTGGGCATCTGTCCGGCTTCAGCTTGGGGAGTCACTGCTGCGTGTTGAAATATTCTTTCCATGCCCTTGGTGTCTGTAAACCTGGTTGGGCTACTTACTTTGACATATGTTGCTTTGGGTCTTTTTAAATTCAATTTCTTTTCTCTAAGGAAAAAGAAAGCCAATCCCACAGCTCCCGTGAGAGTAGAAACCACTGGGCTCCCTGGGGGCTGGCAGTGCCGTCTCGGGGCCCTGCACCCTGGCCTGCCCTCTCAGGCCCAGGGGACGGTCTCAGGGTCAAGAATAGGAAGGCTGGAAACCCACAGCACCTGGTCATTGAGGATTCAGGCCATGAATTGGGGGTCTTGTGGTTTAGGAAGCAGGTGTCAGTATAAACTGTGAGACAGTTAAAAACTAATTATAGTAACAGGAAGAGATGCCTGGGTGTCTTGCCTCGATGCCTGTGAATGTCCCTCAGAGCCCACCTGCCTTTGCTGTGCCCCCACATGCAGTGACAGACGAGCCCCTGCAGAGCAGTGCCTCAGTCATTCATGTGGTCACTGCCCTCCTGTCTTCTGCATTCCTCCCTCACGCCCGCCCCTGCACACATATCCTCGGTCTCAGCGAGGAGCCCCGTGCTGCATCATAAATGCAAACTTTCAGCCCTTTGGGAGGGACTGAGAGGTCGCAGAGAAATGGCCTCAGAAGATTCTGGGTTGACACTGCTGAGTGCTGCTCTTACCAGCCTGCTCTTCTAGGAGAGGGGGCGCTGCCACAGGCTCGCCTGAGTGACCTCTTTGACAGCGGGCTCAGGCACGCGGTGTGGCTGGTGACTGTCCCACGTCCTCATCCTTCACGCCCCTTGCCCAGTAATCAGGTGCATTTAGTGGACAGAGAGGCTATAGCTGATGAACTCTGCACACTTCTCTCTTAGGGGCTGATCTTAAGACCGGTAGGCTCCTGGGGACAGCCCTCGGTACCTATGCGGAGCTGTCCATCACAGGGGTGGGAACCGGGTCGTGGTGCAGGCGCCCTCAGCCTGAGCACCCAGTTCCCTTGTCAGCGCCTGTCACCTGTGAGCTTCTGCTGCTGTTGCAAAGAAAACAGTCGCCGGGATACAAGCAAATTTGGCTTTGATGTAAAACAAATTTTAATCTGGTCCTTGAGGAATCCTTCGCCCACTCACCTCCACCCAGCCTGGAAGTCTCACCAATCTTTGTACGATCGGGTCAGGGTGCCCAGTCAGGGGGGCAGCACTGTCCCTGAGCTGAGGGGGCAGCGGCCGGGGTGGTGCAGGCCGGGGGGAGCGGAGGGAGGCCGGGCAGCCCTCTCAAGGCGAGCTATGTTTACATGACACGGTGTGCCAAAGTGACTTGCTGTGGTTGCGTTATTTTTTAGTCACCGGGACGATCCCATCTTCCCGCTCCCGTTTTTACAAGATGCTTTCCTAAGAGCCCTTTGAGCAAAGTGTGGCAAAGTCAGCTGTCTTCTCTGTGGTGGTCTTTTCTTATGTCTTTATCATAAAAGCTACAATGACAGTCTCTGTGAGTATGTTTTGCAAATTCAAAATATAGTTTGGTAATTTTTTTTCCAGTTGATTTTTAAAAAGAACTGCTGTACAGAGCTTGTACTTTGTCCATTTTATAGATGGAAACCATCCTTGAAAATTGTTTAACTTAAATAAAGAGAAGATACTTTATAGATAAAGCTCTTAGTGGCGGCTGTTGTCATTCCTGGCCCGGACAGGATGGATGTGCCAGCGTTTGAAGACGGCGGTCGCACGCACGCTGCTCGGGGCCGTTCTATTACAGTCTCTTATCACACTTTTAAAATGCATTCACCTTTTACTGCTGTGCCCTTTGGTGGTTTATTCTTATTTGTAATAATAATTGTTATCGTTCGTGGAGTGTTTATGACATGCCAGGCACCGAGCCAAGCCCTTAAATACATTCTCATTGTCTCCTCACTGTGGCCTGTGAGGTAGCATTATGTGCTGCATTTTACAGCTGACTGGGGAAGCTGCTGCTTGCAGCCTAATCCTGCTCAAGGTCACAGCACTGTAAGTATTTACCTGGAGCTGACCCTGAGCCTGCACTCCAGACCAGGGTGAGACGGGAACTTGGTGGGCCGGAGGCAAATTTTACAGCTTCTTAAGTATTTACAATCTATATGCTTGTTTGCCAGTTATCTGAGGCTCTCCAGTTCTGTCAGAGGCTGCTGTGGTGCCTCCCCCTCCTCCTTGGCCTCTGGAAACCCCTATCTTTGAACAAACCACAGGTGTATCGTGGAAACACAGCATGGACCAAGTATTTGCTTGGCAGCTTAGCTTGAGCGGGAGAAGAGGCCAGTATCTTGAACCTTCTGGAAGCCATATTTATGTCTCCTCTTTCTCCATTATTTGAGACAACCAAAAATTTGCCTTTCTTGCCATCTCTGAGCAAAACAAAACTGTTAGCACAATTTCACAGAGCCCTTTAGAGTGTGTTTGCGGTATCCTTGCTTTGACAATAGGGAGAAGTATATTCATCTACAAGGATCTACTGGGAAACTGTTGCCTTGAGAACTCAAATGGAGAAGAAACATGTTAAGGTCAAGGAAAAAAAAAAAGAGGACAAGTCAAGTGCTCTGCAAGCTCAGCCGGGGTGTGTGTGGTGGGGTTGGGTTGTTGATGGGTGGGGTTGGGTTGTTGGTGGGATCAGTCGGGATCCTGAAGACGGGAAGGATTTGGGCCAAGTCTGCGGGAGGGAAGTGATGGATCAGATTTGCAAAACCTTTCAGGATAAAATGCCCAACTCAGCATTTCGATTTAAAAAATATTGTCAGAAAAAATAAGATCTCTGCTTACATTCTTTTGCTCAAGGACTGACTTAAAGGGGAAAAAGAAAATTCTGTTCCTAGATGCCCTTGTATTCCTGAGCGATTCATTCGTCACATACTGTGTATGTGTTTGCTTTATGTTTTATGTTTACCTGCAGATGATGCATACCAAATGTTTCCAAAAGACTTTGTATTTGTAGGGCCCCAAGGGAGTAATAAGAGACATTCACTCAGTAGATCCTTCCTGGACCTGTGGCCCAGCCCTGGGTGCTGATGGGATGCAGGGAGATGGCAATGGAAGAGACCCTGGTGAGCCACGCCTTGGCCACACACGGGGGAGTCAGACTTTGAATGCACTCGTGAGAATAAAGGCTGAGTCTCAGAAAGGTGCTGGCCTCCTGAAGGTGGAGTGAAGGACCCTCAGGGTCGCCATCCAAGGACCAAGACATGACAACTCCCAGTGGCCTGTGCAGGCTCACTGACGGTCTTCCAGAAAGTAACTGTCCATGTTGCTCTTGAATTGAAGAGATTTCTCTTTTGGAGCATTTTCAGTTATCTAACAAAATGCAGTTTAAATTAAAAGAGAGGGCCTCCCTGGTGGCCCAAGGGGTTAAGACACAACCTATGAAGCTATTTGCAGCCACTGCAGCACGAGTTCAGTCCCCGGCTAGGGAGCTGCCCACATGGCACAGCAGACCTTTCCTGACTCTCCCCCTGCTCCCCTCAGCAGTGTAATTCAGTCAGTCTGCTTGTTCTGCTCCCCACTCTGTCTCTGGGGAATCCTCTCACCCCCCGCACCTCTGGCCTGCACCCCAGCTCTTGTATAAATAAATAAATCTTTAAAAAAATTAAAAGAGACATTTACCATCTTGTATAGCAAGAAATCCAAACATGACTGAGTTCCAGGTCTTTTTGAGGTTTGATGCTGTGAATAAATGGCTTTCTGCCCTGCAAGGGCCATAAAGACACCCAGTGAAAATGAAGTTTCCTTCCTTCCTTCTCTCCCTCTCTCTCCTCTTCCTTGCTCCCTCTGTCCTCAGTTGTGGAAATGGGTTCTGGCTAAGCGTACAGAGAAGGGGGAGCTACCAGGACACTGGCCACATTTGCCATCTCTGAAAGAATCCTGACAGCCTCTGGACAGCCCGCATGGCCACACATTCACAGGGCACCTGTGTCCTCAAGGTGCCTGCAGGGTTTCCAAGCTCTTCATCCTGCCTGGCCTCAGTCCTCTGGTGTCTGCTGGCCTTGTGGGGGCTTTTCTGAAAGTGTTTGCAAATGAGTGACACACATTGCATGGGACTACAAAGACAACTAATCATATGCGATGTAGTTATCCAAATATTTGTGTAATATGTGAGTCTTAATGTGTTATCAACAGGGTCTCATTTCTAATAGCTATCATAATTTCAAAGTAGTGATGAGCATAAACAGTATTTTGAAAAGTCTGCAATAATTAATGTGATGTGATCTGTGATTTTTTTTTTTTCTTGATGACAAAGTTCCCAGTTGATTGGAGGGTTAGTTGGAGGTTTGTAGCAATAAAGAGGTAATCTTTTTCCTCTCTGGCCCTCCAAAATGTTCAGAATCTTGAGATAGATGGCATCTGTGATCTAGGACATTTTAAGCTTTGGTGGTTTTGTCTTCTTGCTGGAGATGTGTGAGGCTGGCAAAGCAAAGCTGAGGTGACAGAGCAGAGCAGGGGCGAGGCGACAGGGACAGTAACTGACATTGACCCTGAACCTGGACTTCAGCTGCATTTCTAAAGTGGGAAGAAATCCACCTTGAGGATGCACCTGTGTGACCCAAGTGGCCAGAGACTCACAGACAGCCACCATATTTGCATTTATATATATGTACACCAACAGCCGACAGGTGGCCCTGCGGGCAGTCGGGGCTGAGCCGCGGTGGGTTGTAGGCAGAGCTGTCCCATCTTTAGCGCCTGCCCACTGGTTGAATATGATGTGGACTAAGGGACCTGGGATTTTGCTAAGCAACTTCTCTCCATATTGGAGCCATGTGGAAACTAAAATGAACGAAAGATTACCCAGTGAGCAGAACAAAGATATATAAAGGGCTTTCTAACCGCCTCTCAGTAAGAGAGGAGGAAGTAGTTCTTGACTGCTACAGGCTTGGCCTTGTCCAGGAAACCTGCGTCTTGGAGTCTGCTAAGCAAGGTCTGCAGCTGGTCCTGTGCGCCTGCCTCAGTGGCAACTTTATCAGCAGCTCGCCAGGGCCAGAGGCTCCAGGCAGCCTCGGAGACAGGGCAGTGGGAAGGGAGAGCAGGATGGGAAGGCACTGTTCTTGGGGGTAGGGTGTGCAAATGAGTTAAACACCAGAGCTGCATGACGCACAGGATTGAATTAGGGATAAGGAATAAGGTTTGAGGGGGGATCAGGGGAAGGTGGAAGTGGGTACATCTCCCAAAATCAAGAGATGTGACTAGCCAGGGCCTGGCAAATCACTTCCAAATCACCTCTCGTCTTTACAGCCTACAGAGAAATTGTTACCCCCATTTCACTGCTGGGGGATCTGAGGCTCTCATAAGCATGTACCCTGCTGGCTGCCCATGCCAGGACCATGCTCTTCCTGGCCCAGTGGGAGGTCCGGGCAGGAGACAGGGGGACGGGACTGAGCATGGAGGCCAGTGCGGAAGGGGGAAGGCAGCCTCTGGGGCACTGGGCAGCTGGGGGGCTGGATGCCCCAGGGAAAGCTGAAGCCCAGGGGCGGGAGAAGTCATGGTGGCTCAGGGGACTTAATGGGAGTGAAGAGCGTGGCCTTGGGTCCGGTGGATGGGCTCAGTCCTGGTCCTGCCTCTGCGCCTGTGTCATCTCAGTGTTGGGTTCCATGAGTGGGGTTCTTGGGTTCCCTCTGAGAAAGATTTTGGCAGAGTTTTGCATTCAGTGGCAGAGAGCAATTTTCTTAAAGCACAGCTATTAAGGGGAAAAACATTTGCATAGACACAAACAGGGAAATGCCGCATTTTATTTATGTATTTTTTTTAAATTATGCGTACAAGAACTGGGGTGTAGGCCAAAGGTGTGGGGGTGAGAGGATTCACCAGAGACAGAGTAAGGAACAGAACAGGCAGACTGACTGAAATAGCAGCGGGCGAGACAGGAGAGGTCCGCTGCGCCATGTGGGTAGCTCCCTCGCTGGCCGGGGATCGAACTCATGTTTCAGTGGCTGTGGATAGCTTCATAGGTTGCATCTTAACCCCTTGCGCCACCAGGGAGGCCCCAAAGGGTGCATTTTAAAAGGATAGTTTTATTAGGAAAACAGACATTTGTATAGACATAGACACAACTCTTAACAGGGCAAAGCTGCATTTTTCCACAGTGACAAGGTCTCCTGTTACAGTGTTCTTGGGGGTTGGGGGGTGGGATTCATTCCTTTGTGGAACTTTATCTATTGTGGAGTCTATCACTTCCAGGAACTGGTTGGGTTCCCCTGTAAGCACCTGTGATCTCTCTGCAATGACTGACAGTTCTACACGCCCCCACCGCCATGTCCATCCTTGATCATCCATAGCTGGTTTCACTGCTTGTTAATCACTTCTTACCTCTGGTTTCTGGGTGGCGAAGCGTCCATCATTAGGAAAGCCGTTTAACCTGGTATGTGAAATAGGACAGTTTGCCCACCTTGGAGATGCGTGTCCGCACCAGAGGCAAGACATGTGAGGCCCCTTCTGGCGCAGGGTGGTGGCCGCTGAGTCCAGCTGGCTTTCATCACCGGCTGTGGGCACGGAGGGAAGGGAACTGAGTGTGGAGATTTGGGTTAGATTAGAGACCCTGACTCCGTTTCCATTTTCAGTGGAAAATGATATTGGCAGGTGAGGGAAATAGGAGCAGGATGGGGGTCCCACAAGCTCATATCCTGTGAGGGCCTCAGAGGCCTTGGGAGAGGG